CTAAGGCCCACTTGACTTCACATTCCAGGATGTCTGGCTCTAGGTGAGTGATCACACCATTGTGATTATCTGTGTCATGAAGATCTTTTTTGTACAGTTCTTCTGTGTATTCTTGCCACCTCTTCTTAATATCTTCTGCTTCTGTTAGGTCCATACCATTTCTGTCCTTTATTGAGCCCATTTTTGCATGAAATATTCCCTTGGCTCTAGGTGGTCATATTTTGCATCTTGAAGATGTGAAATACTGTGTGCTAGATTACTCACTCCTTGCCTAGTTTGGGTGTCTTGGAAAGTTGTTTCAAATAACCAAATTGCCTTGCTGTACACCTGAAACACTGTAAATCAATGATATCTCAATAAAAAATGAAATATAATATAATGATTAACTTCTAGAATGAGAATATCTTTCCCTGTGTTACCATGTTTTTCCTTAAGTTAGATTAAACATACGCCTCTTTACTGTCCGATATGGAAGGCAGAAGCCACAAGAGACCAGTCAGCACCTGACCTGGGGCTGTTCTGAGTTGACTTGCCATATGAATATAAAATACACACCAGGTTTTGAAGCTGTCATATGAAAAAAGAATGAAAATATCTCAGTAAGGTATTTGTGTCAGCTACATGATGAAATGATATTTTAGATATGCTGTATTAAATAAAATACACTATTTAAATGAATTTTACTTGTTTATTTTTACTTTTAAGATATGTGACTACTAGAAAATTTGAAATTCTACATGTGCCTCATATTGTGTATCTATTGTAGTGCTGGTCTGTTTAGCTATATAGTCAATATACTATAGCTGCAAATTCCAAGCGAATCACTTTCTTTCCCCTGTCCCAGTTTGTATGTTTTATGCAGCCTACAAGACATTTGTTGTGGGAGAACACACGAGGATCACATGAGGCAGAGTCATTGGTCACCCAGAAGATGACCCTCAACAGCAGCAGTACTGCTGTGATCCGCAGGAAAGAAGGGTCCTTAATAACTGAGGTGATGGACATAATCACTGACTTTCCCAGACCTCCAAATCTGGGATTGGGGGCCTGCAATCACAAGCACATTTGAAAACACGGATAGAATTCACTGTATGGAAACATTCTCTTTAACCACATGGTTATTATAAAGACAATCTAAGGTGAAGAAATACTTGAGATTCAACAGATGCAGGGGAAAATACTTCTTGGAACTCCCTTTATCTGGGGAGTCGTGACCAACACATGCTCAGTCATGACTGGCTCATTGCAGTCCCATGGACTGCAGCCTGCCAGGCTCCTCTGTCCATCGGATTTTCCAGGCAAGATTACTGGAGTGGATTGCCTTTTCCTTCTCCGGGGAATCTCCCTGATGCAAGGATCAAACCCACGTCTACTGTGTCTCCTGCATTAATAGGTAGATTCTTTACCATTGAGCTACCTGGAAGCCCCTCATTTATCTGAATAAAGGCAGAAACTTCTGAAAGATGACCACAGCTGTCAATTCCCTCTTCAGGGTGGCTTTTATTCTCAGGAAACTAACCCTACCAGGGAGTTCCCTGGCAGTCCGTAGTTAGGACTTAGGGTTTTCACTGCCAGCCCAGGTCTGACCCCTGGTTAGGGAACCCTACAAGATGCAAGGTCAAAGAAAAAAAAAACCCATCACATACAAAACTATGCAATTATCTGAACACTGAACTCATGCTTTCTTAATCTCATTAGAGAGCTTTCTGGATTCTACAGTTTGAATGGAAGAGAGGTAGAGATGGTGGTGGATGAGGGCTGACAGGATTTTGTGAATTCCAAGAGACTGCATGGAACCTTGAAGACTGGGAGAACTGCAACTCAAGCCCCGAAGCTGGAGCAGTGCTGAAAATTTTAGATAGATAAATAGATAGATAGATAGATAGATAGATAGATAGATAGATAGATAGATAGACAAAATGGAGGATCACACAAACTTTGTATTGATTTGGTATCCATACTCTGATAGCTCAGTTGGTAAAGAATCTGCCTGCAATGCAGGAGACCCTGGTTTGATTCCTGGGTCAGGAAGATCCCCTGGAGAAGGGATAGGCTACCCACTCCAGTATACTGGCCTGGACAAGTCCATGGACTGTATAGTCACAGGGTCTCAAAGAGTCAGACACAACTGAGCAACTTTCACTTTTCACCATCAAATATTTGATATATTAAGTAAATTTTGCAAATTATTTTTCTTTTTTTAGTTGAAACAACTTTATATTTCTTCAGGCCTTTTATTGTCTCCAAAATCAAATTGATACCCCCTTCTGTGCATCCTACAACACTTGCTACTCTAATCATCATTGCAGGAACTGCCACCAGTTCATAAAAATATTAGACTAGGTTGAATGGCTACATTTTCTTTATACTTAAGTAAAAATTAATAGTCAACTACTAGTGAATGTTCGGTTCTAAAAGACATGTGCTGTGTTTCTAAGCCAACACCTTTCTATACTTAAATCACTTCATCTATATCACGGCTCCGCAGGTAAGTATGTTGTCCTCAATTTACGGATAAGGAAACTGCAGACCAGAGATAGTAAATAATTAGTCCATATTCATACAGCCTATGACAAAGGAAGGTCTCCCTGGATTCAAATTGGTTCCTTTTAGTCATGTAACTAAACTATACTGTCTTTGACTGTGTGAATTATGTACCAAGGCCAGATGGTGCATAAGCTCTAAATTTGCAAAACATTTCATCTGACTAGTGAAAAGTGTGAACAAGAGAAGGAGGGCATAATTAGTCATCCTTTAATACAAAAGTGTTAGATTGCACTGGGGGGAGCCCTTTTCCTCAAACATAGAATAAGAACCTTGAGAAAAATATGTTGCTCACCAAATATGTTTTTTTTTTAACAGAATATCAAACCTAAGAACAAAAGGATATGATGTAGTTAAAAAGCATGGAACTATAGATAAGTTATAAATTTAAAAACTGTCTTTCCCTACTATTATCAAACGGAAAGTATTCACAAGTATTCTCCATTTTTCATAAGCTCACTTTACTCCACTTCATGTTCATGAAAGACCTACATTAGTATTTGTTTTAGCTAACAAAAAGAAATCTCAGGAGGATTTTCATTTTTATGGAAAAAGGAGAAAATGAAAATATCATTCAGCTATTTGTTTTGCAGCAAGCTGTTATAGAGGCAGTGCACCCCATGCAGTGAAAGTAGTCTCGCCAAGCTTCTTCCCCAGGACCTACCTCAGCAGCACCTCAACATCAAGGTACCCTAAGCTTTGAACTGTGTCTGTAAGCATTTGTGCTTTCACCTCCATTTATTTTGTGCTTCCATTAGCAAGGAGTGTCCTAAGGTAATTGCTTCTTCCCTTTATACTTTTTTGGCCTAGGAAAGCTCTACTTCTAGACAGCAAGGGAAACTTGTATTTCTACCTGTACATTTTAAAAACATTTATGTCTGGCCCATAATCACATAAATTTCATATGACTTTGTCTTCAAATGCTCTTTATCATGCCTTTTTTTTTCCTTTGAGAATTTCTACTAAAATTTCCTTTGGAATGCATGAATTTTTCCTTTCAGCCATGGAGTCCATCTGTCGTCCTGTACAAAGCCAGAGGCAATTAACAGTACTAGGATGGAATTTTATTGGAAGGAGTAGGACATATTTCTGATCATTTTTAAAAATAATTTGCTCTTTTTATCCATACCTGGCTTAATATAAATTAACAGTTGGTCAGTGCATAACACAATAAAATAACAACAAGTTCCACCCACAGACTAACAGATTGCATTTTAGGTACTGAAAAAAGGCAGTCAAATTTACTAATTAACTTTTTAATCTTAAAAATTTTTAGCATATTTTATAAAGATTATTTTTAATGTGCTTTAAAAGTAAATAAATTAAATATGACTTAAACTCTAATGCATGTGCATGTTAATCTAAATGGAAGTGTTAAGTTCCTTCTGGATTCTAAATTGTCAATAGTTTCATGTTTTTCTAACTATCCCATCCTTTGTCATTAATTTATATGTTCCTTTAATATACAAGGCATACCTTCTTTTATTTTTTTTTTAACCATTTGTGACATGGTAAGAAATATGTATTTGATCTCTGCCCCCTGTTTCTGGACCAAAACTCCCTAAAGCCCTTGGAATTTCCTTAGTGATAAAGGTGAGAGAGGCATCTTTTATTATTCATAACAAACCCCTCTTGATCTAACCCCAATTTATATGAATGTGGTGACTCCTGGAGAAAGGAAACTGGTTGCCAGAGGAACCAACCACCTGATTAGAGAGTTAGAACTTTCATCCCCAACTCCTTGTTGGTGATTTAGTTGCTAAGTCGTGCCCAACTCTTGTGACCCCATGGGCTGTAACCCGCCAGGCTCCTCTGTCCATGGTATTCTCCAGGCAAGAATACTGCAGTGGGTTGCCATTTCCTTCTCCAGGGGATCTTCCCGACCCAGAGTCTCCTGCATTGCAGGCAGAATCTTTACCAACTGAGCTACAGGGAAGACCCCCCTCAACTCCTTATCTCTAGGGAAAGAAAAGGGGCTGGAGATTGACTTAATCACCCATGGCCAAAGTTTTCAATAAATCATTCTTTTGTAATGGAAATTTAATAAAAAATCCTAAATATGAAGGGGTGCCCAGATCTTCTGGATTGGTGAACACATGAACCCAGAAGCTCCTGCTCCTTCGCCATACCTTGTGCTATGCACACCTTCCATGTCTTGCTCCCGAGTTTCACCCTTTTATAAATGGGTAATAAGCACAGCACTTTCCAGAATTCTGCGAACTCTTCTAGCAAATTATCGAACCCAAAGAGGGGGTTGTGGGAACCCCTGATTTATAGCCAGAAGATTCAGAAGTACTGGAGGCCTGGACTTTTCATTGTCATCTGAAGTGGGGGCCAATTTGTGAGACCAGGCCCTTAGCCTGTGTGTGTGTGTCAGTTGCTTAGTCGTGACTGACTTTTTGCAATCCCATGGACTGTACCCTGCCAGGCTCCTCTGTCCATGGAATTTCCCAGGCAATAATACTGGAGTGGATTGCCATTTCCTTCTCCAGGGATCCTCCCAACCCAGAGATCAAACCCGAGTCTCCTGCATTGTAGGTAGATGCTTTCCCATCTGAGCCACCAGGGAAGCTCTGTGGGTCTACACTAACTCCAAGCAGTCAATTTTTTAAGTGTTGTGAGGAGAGAAATAGTTTTTTATTTTCCTTTACTATCCCTCTTCTAAAACAATAAAAATACTCCCTGCAAATATTTGAATAAATGTATACACAAATAAATGTCTAAAATAGACACCATAATCTAGAAAAACCAGGGTAAACCCAACATATAAAAAAAATTAAAACTATGCTTACCATTTTTGGATAAAAATCAACTCAAAGAATACAATATATAAAATTAAACATTATAATCATTTTAATTTTTTTCCTTCAGTTCTCTGACAGAGAAGTCTATTGATTCATAAAGCCTCACACAAATATAATTTTTATCTTCTAGAACATAAAATAATGTTTAGCTATTAATACATTAAATGTTTACCTACTTTTTAAAATTATGAATTATCCTAGTATTTTTACTTATTTTTAGAAACCTGACCCAACTTCAGTAAGAGTGGCATAAAATGCCCTAGCCTTCTTACTGTATGAGGTGGAGGTAAACAATCAAACTCTCTATATATACCTATACCTACACACATACACATACATATATAATAGAACGGGGACTTTCTATATGATCAAAAGAGCAATTATTTTTATTTTAATAGGTGAATTAAAACAATTCACATTTACCTTATGACAGATGTTGATGGTCATAGTCTTATTAAATTATTTCATATCTTCTAAAGATATCTTAAAAAATTATTCACTCTTTTATTTTTGATGTATGTATCTCCTGAAAATAGAGAAATATTATATTCTGTACTACTGGCTCCTCTTATAATTATAACTCATATGTTAAAATTTGTCTTTTTCATTTTGGGTCAATATATTTCTAAATTTCCTTAAAAAAATCTATTTTATCTCAGCTCATTTCTTCCTCTAACTTAACTCTAATATCTATCTTCGTTTTTCTATTTGTGCTGAAAAATGCAGTTATACTTCTACTAATTGATTTTACAGGCTTATATATTATCTTCAGCCAGTAAAAATAAGGAAATTGGTGCACCATCTCCTATCCTCCTAATTTTTTTGTTAAATTGTCTCCCTACCTTCTAATTTTTCCTTTAGCTGTGTGTAGTTATCAATGCTGGCTGCCCATTAGTCATCTGTGGTGTTCCCAGGTGGCACTAGTGGTAAAGAATCTTCCTGTCAATTCAGGCATGTCAATTTAGATGTAAGAGACACAGATTCAATCCCTGGGTTGGGAAGATGCCCTGGAGAAGGGAAAGGCAACCCACTCCAGTATTCTTGCTTGGAGAATCCCATGGACAAAGGAGCCTGGAGGGCTACAGTCCACGGATTGCAAAGAGTTGGACACAACTGAAGCAACTTAGCAGGCACACACATGGAGATGTTGAAACATACCAGTGTGCAGACTCCAGACAAGAACTATTAAAGAAAAATCTATGCGCCCAGATTTGGGGCACTGGCATGACTTAAGAGTTCCATAGGTGGTTCTAATATGCAGCCAGGCTTGAGAACCACTGGTTCACACTATGTTTTACTGTTTTCAGGCATTCAGCCAATTCAGTTCTCATCATCTGATGTCTCATCATTTCTTTCAGAACTCTTCCGCAAGGAGGCAAATGCTTCATTAAGTTTTCTCTCTCCACCCCCTCCTTTTTTTTCATGTTTTCTATTTTTCATGGCTAAAATTTGACAGTTTCTTAGCATTTCATGGCAACATTTTCTGGTGAAGGTTTTGCTTTTGTGAATTTGTTTTCCTCTTCCCTTCCTTCCATTTTCTTGTAGTATCTCCAATTAAGCCCTCTTCTGGTTCTTCCTTATTTCATATTTTAAGGAGGTGAGTTTTTGTTTTTTGTTTTTTTCTGGGAAAGAGAATTCTGTTGGGAAAAACTTTGTGCACACAGCTTGTGCAGCTGTACAAGGTTCTTTGCACAGAGGACTCTGTGCTTGATTTAATGCTCTTCTGTCACCATCTTAAAATTTTTAATAATTTCTAAACAAAAGATCTCACACTTTTGAGGGAAAGGAGGGGAAGTGCTTCAGATTGGCAAGACCCTTCTTTACGACCCCCAGTGGAAATGGACAATACTTTATAATACCCGATGTCCTACTGCAGCTAGAGAGGCCACCCTGCTTGCTAGAGAAGAGGCTTCTTTGATGTGTGGTTCCTGGTTTAAACTTGACTCCTACAACTTGGCAGAAAAACAAATCAAAGAAAGGTTATAAAAGATTTCCTGTAGCACCTTTCAATTGCTACAGATGAGGGATTTAGGACAGGATGTGCTCTTCACCACTCTCTGAGCTTAGAGGACGTGAGGTCCTGCTTCCTACTCTTGTAGGAAGAGAGAGCTGTTTTCCCAGCTCTCTCGCCACTTTAGGGTTTAAGGTTTTCTTTACTGCCTCATTTTACCACAAAACCCTGGCCTTTGTATTTTTAGCTTTTATTCCCTTTATTGCTTTTGAATGGTTTGTAGGAGAAAAGAAAAAGGAAAATATCTGAATTCACTTGGCAATCCTGAAAAGTATATTCAACGTTCTGTGTCTTTATGCTTTATAGATATCTTCCAAAGGCAACCTATAACCCAACAGTCTCTATCTTTCAGCTGTGTGTAGGAGTAAAAGAGAAGGTTAATCCATTTACATGTATTTGTACTGATATAGTTAACCCTCATTTCTTTTGTTTTCTTGCTTTTTAGTGGCATTTTTAAATTGTATATATATATACATATATATATATTTACATACACTACTAACTTGAATGTTATATACTCTACTTTTATTGTGAATTGGTATTCTAAAAAAAAATTGCATGTTTAATTTATAAAATAAAAAACAATCAATGCCTACCTTCTTCTTCAGGCTTCTCAGGTGGCTCAGTGGTGAAAAATAGCCTAGGCAGGATACACAGGTTTGTTCCCCAGGGTTGAAAAGTTCTCCTGCAGAAGGAAATGGCAAGCCACTTCAGTATTCTTGTCTGGGAAATCTCAGGAACAGAGGAGCCTGGTAGGCAACAGTCTATGGGGTTACAAAAGAGTCAAGATACGACTCAGTGACTAAACAACAATCTTCTTCTTCACATACACTTAACATATACATCTTCAACACCTATACACAATTCCTACCTAAATGTAACACTTTGTCTAGACATAAGTTTTATCTAGTTTACTAACCCCACAAGGCAGATATTTATGGTTCATAACTTCTGGTTAACCCACAAGCTTTTAAATTTCTAATTTTTTTATTTCTATTTGTATGTCTGAATTAGTTTGAGATAGATTTATTTTTTGTCTTCTTTCTGTAACATTTCCTCTTAAGCGACTTAGCAGCAGAAGCAGCAAGTATGTGTACTTGTATAAAATCTGTTTTTGTTTGAAGTTATCTTTCTCAATCATGAGAGATAATTTGCAAAGTATATAATTCTAAGTTGATAGTTCTTTTTCCAAGACTTGTTAAGATATTAATTTATTATCTTCTGGTTTTTATTGTTGCTTCTGAAAGACCTGCGGTAAATCTAACTGACGTTACATTATAGGCAAGTTACCTTTCCTCTCCAGTTTTTTTTTAATGTCTTTATCCTTGGAGTTTCAAAGTTAGTTAAATATGTCTTGAATTGGAATTTTTATTGGATTTATTTTTAGTCATTGTTCCAGGATCTGGAATGCTTTCTGAATCTGAGAATTCATGTCTTTCCTCAATTGGGGGAATTCTCAACCACCACCTCATCAAATATTACTTCTTCCCATTCTTGCATTTTTACCCTTTCAGAACTCTGGTAAGGTATATGCTACTCTTTCTCATTCTAGCCTTCCTATGTCCTAACTTGTCGTTTATTTTTTCTTTCTGTTTGCTGAATTCTCAATAATCTCTTAGATCTATTTTGCAGTTTCAGTGATTTTTATTTTGAATTTCTCATTTGTTCCTCAGACTTACCTTGCTATTTAGATCTTATGGTCTGCTTATTTTGGTGGCTTTATATTTTCATTTCCTTAAACTTTTATCCATAAATTATTATAATCTATTTCTAATAATTACTATGTCTGTAACTCTGAGGGTCTACTGCTGTTGTTTGCTTTCTCTCCTGATCCTTGTCCACAGTAGCTTATGCCCTCTTCTGTTTTTTTTTTCCAGTTTTATCGAGATATAATTGACACACATCACTGTATGAGTTTCAGGTATACAACATAAAGGTTTGACTCACTGTAAAATGATTGCAACAGTAAGTTACCTTCTTGTTTTAAAATGTTGATTCATTTCATTTTTCTTCTGATCTGCATCTAAAAAATTGTGTTATACTCTAGATGAGGATGCATTATTTCCAAGACAATCTATAATCTATCTTTATCTTAACCTATTAAGAAAAGCTATGACAAACCTAGACAGCATATTAAAAAGCAGGAGCATTAGTTTGCCACAAAGGTCCGTCTAGTCAAAGCTATGGTTTTTTCAGTAGTCATGTATGTATGTGAGAGTTGGACCATAAAGAAAGCTGAGCGCCAAAGAATTAATGTTTTTGAACTGTGGTGCTGGAGAAGACTCCTGAGAGGCTCTTGGACTGCTAGGAAATCAAACCAGTCAATCCTAAAACAAACCAATTCTGAATATTCACTGAAGGACTGATGCTGAAGCTGAAGTTCCAATACTTTGCCACCTGATGTGAAGAACTGATTCTTTAGAAAAGACCCTGATGCTGGGAAAGATTGAAGGCAGGAGGAGAAGGGGACAATGGAGGATGAGCTGGTTGGATGGTATCACTGACTCCATGGACATGAGTTTTAGCAAGCTCCGGGAGCTGGTGATGGACAGGGAAGACTGGCGTGCTGCAAACCATGGGGTTGCAAAGAGTCGGACATGACTGAGCAACTGAACTGAACTAAACTGATCTTTCATATTTTTCCATCCTTTTATGTCTGTGTTAATTTCTCAGAAATTTCTATTTTTCCAGTAGAAATTCACTGCTAGGTTTCAAACATTTCTGTTCTGTTTTCATATTGCTTAGGTCCTTCTCTTTGTTTCTATTGTTGTTTTTCCCTCTATTTCACTTTTATAAAAATATTAGTATATATTTATTTTACATATAAATTTATACACTACAACATACTCCTGAAATGTTGCTGTCTTTGTTGGTGTGGTGAATTCTATCCTATAATTATTTAAGAAATCCTGGGGAAGAAGAATTAAATAATAACTAAGGAAATGCCTCTTCTATGCCTATACTTCTATCATTTTGCGTTTTGACAGGAGTTATAGCAGAAAACTGAACTCTTTATTATAATGCCTCATTCTTTCACCAGCCAGATTACATCCAAATTTTTTCATCTGGATTTCTTGGCCAGTTTCTACTTGTAGGATAGTGGGATATTTTCTCAAAGACTCACTGGGCAGGATAGTGTGAAGGAATATAGCAATCATGCATGGATATAGTTTTATTAGTACTCCAGAGTCTTCAATGTCAATTACTCCATTATTGTAAACTTCTTCAGATAACTGCAGTCCCTAATTATCTTTAAAGATGTTAGGAATGAAGCCTCTTAATTCATCCAAATAAAGAAAACATTTCTTCATTAAACTGATGAATTATACTCCTTTTTTTTCACTAGAGGTTTTAAAAATTAAATTTTTTCCAGTCCAAGGAAGTATGATCATTTTTGATAATGGAATCTGAACAGTTTCTACAACAGGTCTGTTTTATCTTCTAGGTGCTCAAGGGCTTAGAATTGTTTGTTCATTATCTGCTATATCTGCTTTACTACTGAGGTTTGTGAATGACTTCCATTAAAATTTTATTGGTGTCCCTAGAAATTTAATACTGGATGCATTACAGCTATGTCCTTATTGAAATCAGTAAAAGTCATTTTTGTTGTTCAGTCACTAAGTTGTGTCCAACTCTTTGAGACCCCATGGCTGCAGCGTGCGAGGCTTCCCTGTCCTTTACCATCTCCTGGAGTTTGCTCAGACTCATGTCCATTGAGTCCGTGATACTATCCAACCATCTCATGCTCTGTTGCCTGCTTCTCCTTCTGTCCTCAATCTTTTCCCGGCATCAGGGTCTTTTAAAAGGAGTCAGCTCTTCACATCTGAGCAACTAACTTTTGGGGGCTTTCCTGGTGGCTCAGATGGTAAAGAATCTGCCCGCAATGAAGGAAACTTGGGTTTGACCCCCTTGGTCAGGAAAATCCCTCAGAGAAGGGAATGGCTACCTGCTCTGGTACTATTGCCTAGTGAATTTCATGAACAGAGGAGTCTGGCAGGCTACAAAGAGTTAGACATGACTAAGTGACTAACTTAAAATTCATATGACCATTTTAATATTCAACTCCCATTAATTATATCAATAAATGATAATCTCCTATTTTATCCTCCTCAGCATTGTTTCATGATTAATTAATCACATTGTCACACCTGCAAGAGCAGATGAGGTTGGAACCCCTGCATTCACTTTTATGTCCAGTACCATGTCAATGTCATGGACTTGCACTGTTCTAAAAATGTAACCATCGGTCACATGTGGCCATTGAAATTCAGATTTAAACATGGATAAATTAAAAAGTCAGTTTCTCGGATATGCTAGCCACATTCAAGAGCTCAGGAGCCACATATGGCTGGTAGCTACCATATTGGACAACACAGATATAAAACATTTTAATCACAGAGTTCTATTAGAGAGCGCTTCTATAGATAATAACCCATTTGATTCAAGAAACTCAAATGTGATACTTAATTGAAAACAACATCTCTGTGAGTAACCATATATAAAGTTTTATCTTTCAGAGCACCACATCCAAGTTCTCCTCTCTTTATATGAATGACTTAGTCAATTTCATTAGTTGTGTAAGAACCTCACAGTGCAACATAATACTCATACATTTTAATCACCATTTATAACTACTGTAATAAAATCAGACCACAGAGAATTCTAATCAATGCAATGTGACCATCCAAGTGCCAGAAACTGTCGTCTTAAAATAGAATTGGTCTCTGAACAGTTTTAAACATATTGACCTTACAATTTATATACCTACATGCAGTCATATCTCAACCATTATATCTTTAGTAGTCATTCAAGATAATATGCAGAAAACTTCCTGTTAAATGGTATTGAAGGATTCTATTCATATGGAATGACATCTAGAAATTTTTCTTTTCATTATCTTCAGTATCTAATATTATCTTACCAATAGCTTTATCTCTGGAAATTTTAAAGTATTCAAAATTGAAGTTATCTTTCCCAGGAGATTGTATGACTGTATATCACTTCCCTGGTGGCTCAGATGGTAAAAATGTCTGCCTACCATGCAAGAGACCTGAGTTCGATCCCTGGGTCAGGAAAATCCTCTGGAGGACATAATAGCAACCCACTCCAGTACTCTTGCCTGGAAAATTCTATGGATGTAGGAGCCTGGTGGACTACAGTCCATGGGGTTGCAAAGAGTCAGACACAACTGAGCAACTTCACTTTCACTTTCATTTCACAATCAGAAAGCAGTAAATTATGTCTGGCTTATCTGACACGATTTCCTTTACTCATTGCTGTATGGCCTGGACAATTTGTTGGGTGGACTTCATTACCACTTTGATGTGATAGAAGGAATTCTGATGTACTACATTGTTTCCAGACACTTCCAACTAAACAAGCAACTTTTTGGTGCTTCAGCAAATTTAAAGTACAAGAAGATATTTGGGGGGTATATATATTATGTTAACGCATTCTCCATCAATTATTTCTAATTCTATCATTTCAACCATACTCATTCCAAGAAACATCACATAACAGGAGGATGACAAAAGCACCACTGTTGGCTACAACACTGGGTTACTACAACATCATATACTGCAAAATAATACAAAGGAATTGTGTTTTGTAAACTAGTCAGCTAGAAAAAGGTGTTTAATCGACCAATCTATTATTGACTTGTAACCATTTCTTTTTTCCTTGTAGTAGGATATTATTGTACATATCAATAATACAGTGATAATATAATCAGTATAATATCCATATCATTGTACTGATCTTTATGGTTTATTAGCTAATTGTTACAAGTTTGTGCCCTTAAACACCATCACTCTTGTCCCTCTATCTCCCTTCTCTAGTCACCATCATTTTACTCTGCTTTTTACAGCTTTCACTTCTTTTAGGCTCCACATAAGTGATATGATACAGTACTTGTCTTTATCTAACTTATCTCACTTAGCATAATGCACTCAAAGTCCATCCCTGTTGTCACAAATGGAAAACATCTTCTCTTTTCATTGCTAAATAATATTCCAATGTGTATATGTAGCACTGGGACTGCTGCTGATGCTAAGTTGCTTCAGTCGTGTCCAGCTCTGTGCGACCCCATAGACGGCAGCCCACCAGGCTCCCCCATCCCTGGGATTCTCCAGGCAAGAACACTGGAGTGGGTGGCCATTTCCTTCTCTAATGCATGAAAGTGAAAAGTGAAAGTGAAGTCGCTCAGTCGTGTCCGACTCTTAGTGACCCCATGGACTGCAGCCTACCAGACTCCTCCATCCATGGGATTTTTCAGGCAAGAGTACTGGAGTGGGTGCCATTGCCGTCTCTGATATGTAGCACACTTCTTATCTATTCATCCATCAATGAGCATTTGTGTAGTTTACATATCTTGACCATTATGAATAATGCTACAATAAACATAATCTTGTACATATCTCATTGAAATCCAGTTTTTTTTCCCCCTAAGGTATTAATATATACCCAGAGTGGAAATTCTGGATCATATGGTAGATCTATTTTTAGTGTTTTGAGGACCCTCCCTATTATGTTCTATCAGGGCTGGACTAATTTACATTCCTACCAACAGTGTATAAATATTCCCTTTTCAGAAAAAAACTTTTATAAGAATTAGTGTTTAAAGGAGTAAATCTTAGAATTTTTCCCTCTGGATAAAAGTAAAAATTAGATAATTTTAAAAATAAAATTAAAAAAGGAAGATTCTCTTTTGACTACATCCTCGCCAGCAGGTGTTGTCTCTTGTCTTCTGGATGGTAGCTATTCTAACAGATGTGAGGTGATGTATCCTGGTTTTGTTTTGAACTTCTCTGATGATAGCTGTGTAACCATTTCTGTATCAGAGAAATCAGCATCTTTTCTAAGAGAGTATATGAGAATTCCACCTGCTGCGGCAGCTATTTGTCTACTGTCAGCCACCAAAGGCAAGAAGAGAGAGTGTGAAGATTTTCACTGATCACTGTGACCATTACTGTGGAGTCATCTGACTGTACCACAATAGAACCAACCACAGATCTAGCAAATTTTCCAGAAAATACTCCTACTTTTCTATGGCCTATGTTTACAGCTATATCTCTAGTCTTTGCCCACTTTACCCCCATCAACCACACCTGTCCTCTCTGCAGCATTTAAGCCTCATAAGTGGGTATATGGGATCCTACTCTGCCAGGCAGAGGGGTTTCTCACTGAGTGGAGTCACAGAAACCTCCCTATAATCTATAGTATAATAATCTGTAACAGTTTCCTTCTGTTCTGTGTAGTTTAACAAGTGTGTTTGTGTGTGACAGAGACAGAGATAGAGCATCTCATAGAACTTGAGTTGTGGAAATGTCAGTAGAGCAGGGTTTTTATAAGTGCATTTTCAGGCTTTCCACTTTTTTTCATTATTTCTCATGTTTCTTTACCGTGTTGCCTTTTTCAACTGAGGATCTTGTCAGCCTCTTATGACTATAATTCATTTTTAAGTGGACCTAATAGTTCTTACTGGGGCCTCTCAGTTGGCTCAGTGGTAAAGAATTCAACTGTCAAGCAGGAGACGCAGGTTTGATCTCTGGGTCAGGAAGATCCCCTGCAGAAGGAAATGGCAACTCACTCCAGTATTCTTGCTTAGAGAATTCCATGGACAGAGGAGCCTGGCAGGCTACAGTCCATGGGGTCACAAAGAGTCAGACACGACTTAGTAACTAAAGAACAACAACAATAGTTTTTATATTGGTAACTTTGCTAACTCTATATTTTCACATTGATCAACTGTCTTACATCAAAAATTCAGAAAGTGAAGGGATAGTGTAAGAAATGTGGCAGCAAAAGGTAATCAAAGCTGTCCCCTGGATGCATACACACACCCACGTGTGCATACATGTGCACCCACTGACAAGCAGCATAGCATAAGAGGCCTGCTCAGCTCAACTCCAATTCTCCATCCATTTCATTCCAAGACAAGAAAAAATAATAGTAAAATCAATAAAAAGTTCAAATAAATATACCACCACAAATAACTGTCATGAAGAATTCACCTCTCATGTATCTCTTGGGCCTATTTTTTCATTAGAAAAATAATCTATACAACTGCAGTATAAATGGGAGGCATAAAATTTCTTTAAACTGACTCCAGAGTTATGAAATCACATCTGGAGAGCTGTAGCAATTATCTTTATAAGACTTTTGCTGAAGAAGGGGAGGAACACTCTCACTGAGATAGAGGGGAATGGGTTTAATAATTTGGAAAATATTTCCTAAGGCACCAAACATTTGAATTCACTAACTTTCTGCATTTGAAGCCTCTATCATAGTAACTGTTAATATACTGTTCAACTTATTTCCTTGTTTTCTCACTTACTAATATTTTTTCCTTATTTAATTGTTAGGTTATAGGGAGGAAGAGTGATGGGAATGTCTTTTAGAATTTTTTTTTTTTAATCTTACATACCTTCTATTTTCCCCAACAGCATCATTTTGGTTGACTCCTCCCAGAGCCTTTAAAATTTTGTATTATTTATAAAACTTGGTGTGAGCTGGCAAATGTGAAGCACTTGAGCCACATTGAAGAGTCTCATCCACTTCTCAAACATCAGGCCCTCCTCTGAATAGGCGACTCAGGGAAGGGAAGGGGTGGCTGGGGAGACAGGCTTGTAAACAGTCACAGAGATAGAGGGGAAAGAGGAGAATCCATGGGGAGGGGATGCTGTGGGATCACAGCTAGACTTATTTAAAATAGGAGCTTTAAAGTTAAAGCACCTTAATCTTTATTGAAAATTCAGAAGGTTTTTCTATTCTCCTCCTCCAGATTCTTGCTTCATTAATTATCCATTCTTTTAGAAATTTCTCCAGGGACTCCTTCTGTTCAATCTGCAAAAATGCTTAATTTAATGATTCCTGTCCTTAAAAAAAAGGGGGGGGGAGGTGCTTCCCTTGTGGCTCAGCTGGTAAAGAATCCGCCTGCAATGCAGGAGACCTGGGTTCCATCCTTCGGCTGGGAAGATCTCCTGGAGAAGGGAACAGCTATCCACTCCAGTATTCTGGCCTGGAGAATTCCATGGACTCCACAGTCCATGAGGTTGTAAAGAGTGAGACAGGACTGAGCGACTTTCACTTTAAAAAAAATGGCTTCTAGTAACCATGCCTCCCTCTTCTCTCCTGCTCTGTCTTTCCTTCCTGATGTTATTCAAATTCTTGACAGTCACCCACATTCCTGCCTTTGCTTCTGTACCCCTGCTGCTACACTCAACAGCACACTGGAACCCTACCTCTACTCCCCAATACTCCTGCTAAACTTTTTGGCCAAAGGTCAACAATAACATCCTAAAGGAATGCCCAGGGGCCTCACCTCAAGCCTCCCTAGGATCTGTCTCAGGCTGAATGTGATTCTATTCAAAAGACTCTTCCCTGGGCTTCTGGCTCACAACTTCAGCCTACTGGGGGCCACTTGGGTTTACAGCTTGGATTAAACCTGTTTATATCTTTTGCCCAATACTCTATCAAGTTCTTAGTTTTTTTCTTATTGATTTGAATAAGGTCTGTATAGATTTTTTAAACAACTCTTAAAATCTTATATAGTTGTATTTCTCCTATCTTGTTTCTTCTGATACTTATTAATCATAACAATTAGCTAGAGTATTAATATTACCTAGCTTCATTGGTAGATTCTGGGTTTTGGGATCTTGATTCTAACGTCAAGATAATTATCATTAATAATTATACTACCATTTATAATATGAAGATAATTGTTATCATTTCCTCAAATAATACTTTAATGATGTAATTTTTTGCTTGTAAACGTTAGTCGACCAAAAATTAAATTTCTTTTTCGTTTGTAGGTTGGTTGGTTATAAAGAAACTGTTTATCTCCTGTCAACCTTACTTCAATTTGGTGTTTGAGTCTGTGAGAGAACAGCTTAAGACCACTCTGTGGTTATTCCTACCCATTCAGTGGCCAGCGTCTTGGGGACTGCAGGCCTGTTCTGCACGGCTGGGCTGAGGCTCCATCTTCGGGAGGGAACTGTGCGTTCTCGAGTGACCTCGGAAGGAGCAGCAATACGTTTGGGAGCTGGAGCACTCCACTCACCCAAAATTCCTCCCTGGTCTCAGACTTTCCGCAATGGCTGCTCTTCCTTTCCTGCCTCTTCAGCATCACAGCGGAAGTGAAGACCGTGCTGATCTCGCGTTAGGAAATGATGCTGCACATGCGCAGAACCGCAGCTAGCCTCCACTACGGCAGACTTGGGAGTGGGCTCCTGTGGTGGTCCCGAGATGATGGCGATGCCCTCATGAAGCAGAGGATAGTCTGTGTCACACGGAGCGGAGTTCTGGGATCGGGAGGCACCGGCAGCGGTGGCTCTGGGAAGCCTGCCTGGATCTGGTCATTGAAGGTTCCAAGTGTAAAGCAGCCAGCGATAGGAGTGGCTCCAATGAGCAGCAAACTTCAGCACAACTCGCTGGCTAGTATTCCTGGAGGATAGGAGGCTGGCGTCACCCAGGTGGTACAAGCTGCAGAACTCTCCTCTGTTCTCTTTAGATTTACGACATACATGCGATCACTTTTCCTTTTGTAGACGATTGTTCCAGTTGGAAATCAAGGTTGGTGCCACCTAAGGGGGTTCCCACTGTTAGAAATTTGAGAACACCTTGCTCCTTGCAGGAAATCAAAGACTCAGGACATTGTGAAAGAAACCAAAAAAATATCAGAGAAATGATGTGTGTAATCTTTGATGTGGATGACCCTAGACTGAAGCGGAGGAGGCAAAGGCACCCTACTCCAGCACTCTTGCTTGGAAAATCCCATGGATGGAGGAGCCTGGTGGGCTGCAGTCCATGGGGTCGCTAAGAGTCGGACATGATTGAGCGACTTCACTTTCACTTTTCACTTTTATGCATTGGAGAAGGAAATGGCAACCCACTCCAGTGTTCTTGCTTGGAGAATCCCAGGGATGGGGGAGCCTGGTGGGCTGCCGTCTATGGGGTCGCACAGAGTCGGAGACGACAGAAGCGACTTAGCAGCAGCAGCTAGACTGAAGGTGTGATCCATGTGCACACAGAAGGGATGGGAACAGAGTAGTGCATTTCCTTCAGTAAGCGAAAAGAGATGAAAGGCAAAACAGATGCAAAATTATGTTTGGAAATACAGTGAAGGGAGATTGGGGAAATTCCAGATGGTGATTTCTATTTCCTCTTTGGAAGTTTTCTATTGAGAGTTGAAGGTATTAAAGTGGAGATGGGTCAGGTACTTAAGGAGAGTGGAAAAGAAATGAAATCACCGTGGTGTATAGTGGAAAACAAGCTGATTTGGAAAATGAGATCAGGTTTCTGGCATACTTGGGATACCTATGCATTTGACAATTATAAATTTATAGTGAAACCCATTTACCCTGTTTTAAATTTTCTTGCAATGCTCTAGCTGTCACTTAAAGGCATTAAAAAAAAACACAACAGATAATTGGGTTCTTCCTAGTTTGAAGTTTTGCAAAATAAGGGGAAGTGAAATTGGAATATTGGAACAGGAAACTAAAAATGATGGATTGTAGAGACTAAGAGGATAGAAAGCGGAGAGGAGACAGGAGAAATCTAACAGATGTGAATGAAGTATGGATAAGTGAACTAGAAATCATAATAGTGTTGAAGCACAATTCTACTACAATTACTTTTATAAGGAAGTTGGGACTATCATTTGTGCCTAACAGATTATTTATGTATTTATTTCTTTTTGGCTGCACTGGGTCTTCATTTGCTCTATGTGGGCTTTTTCTAATTGTGATGAGCAGGGGCCACTGTTTGCTGCGCGTGCAGGTTTCTCACTACAATAGCTTCTCTTGTTGCAGAGCACAGACTCTAGGCACACAGGTTTCGGCAGTTGCAGCCTGCAGGCCCAATAGGTGTGGCACACGGGCTTAATTGCTCTGTGGCATGTGGGATCTTCCTGGAGCAGGGATTGAACCCATGTGCTCTGCGTTGGCAGGCAAACTCTTATCCACTGTAACAGGAGGGAAGTCCTGGATTGTTTAAATAAGTGCTTTTGGAGGTGAAAGGCTTTAGATGAAGAAAAGTTCCATGGTCTGCATAGAGTATGTAGTAAGGTGGAATGGAAATGAAGATTATCTGAGAAGAAGAAGTGTATTATTAGTTGGTGTGGGAATGTTCCTTGTACCCGTGGAGTCAAAGAAGCATCAGAAATACGTTGAAGAAATACACAGTACTATGGGAGCCTGTGAGATAGCCTATGGTCTTCTTTTAATATGACAGCTGCTACTGTTGTCCTTTCAATCATGTTTGACTCTTTGCGACCCTATGGACTGTAGCCCACCAGGCTCCTTTGTCCATGAGGATTCTCCAGGCAAAAATACTGGAATGGATTTCCACGCCCTCCTCCAGGAGATCTTCCTGACCCTGAGATCGAATCCACATCTCTTACGTCTCCTGCATTGGCAGGCATGTTCTTTATCACGAGTGCCACCTAGGAAGCCCAATATAGCTTTAATCATTGTGTCTGGTACTTTGTCTCCATGAGTAGAAACTGTGTCTATTTTGGTTATTTTATCTGTAGGATCTAACACAGTTTCTGGCACATAATGGGGACTTGGTGGATGTTTACAAATGAGTGCATGCATAAACAACTGAATGAAGGATGGTGCGATAACCACTTTCCAAAGCTCACGACTCCCAATGAGCTTTGACTCCTAGTACTCACATCCGTGTATAGTCAGGTCCCACATTACACCAGAGTTGGTCTGTGTGACCAGCAGACCACAGTGGAGGTCAAGGTGTGCTGCTCTGAGGGTAGTTTATAAAAGCCTGCAGCCTCCATCCTGGATCACTTGCACTGGAGGAAGTCATGTCATGAGCACCACATGGTAAAAAACTGAAGGAGTACATGTGTCAATGATTTTGGAAACAGACCCTCAGGCCCCATGCAGGACATCAAAGACTGAAATGCCAGCCAACAGCTCAACTGCAGTCTCTTGAGAGACCCTGAGCCAGAACCACCCAGTAAAGCTGTACCTGGATTCTTTTTTTTTTTTAATCATATATTTATTTATTTTTGACTGCTCTGGGTCTTCATAGCTGTGAGCGGACTTTCTCTAGTTGCACAGGTGGAGCAAACTGTGGTGTGCAAGCTTCAGTAGTTTCGGCTAGTAGCCTTTAGAGTGTGGGTTCAGTAATTGCAGCACATGGGTCCAGTTGTCCTGGGGTATGTGGGAGCTTCCTGGAGCAGGGATCGAACTCATGTCCCCTGCACTGGCAGGTGAATTCTTGACCACTAGACCACCAGGGAAGTCCTGAGCCTGGATTGTTAATCCTTAAAAATGATGTGAGAGAATGTTATTTGCCTTAAGCTGTTAAGCTTTGGGGTGATTTGTTATGCAGCAATAGATAACTAATACAGATGGTAAGTTATTTTTAAAGTATGTTTCAAAACTTATCATTTTTTTTTTTTACAAATAATTTCAGAAATTTTTCTCTACTTTGACTCCATTCAGAAGGAGGGTTTCCCAAACTTCCACCATTCTTCCTGTCCCTAATTTCAATTATTATCATTTCATGAAGGGGAATTTTCAGCCTGTAGGTCTATGAAGAAACCAGGACAAAACAATTGCTTCCTGGTCTCAGGAGATAATTTATATTTCCTTTGATCTGTTCATAAATCATAAACAATGTCTCCACTCTTTACATTATAGTAATTTTAAGAGTGTGGTATTTCTACTTTAGTAATAAAAATACCATAAAACTTCTGTGTTTAAAGGCATAAAATGCCACTAGATTATGGCATAGTAACTTCTCATTTCATGAGATATTGTGTAGGTTGATACAGAAAGTATAAAGACTTTTGAAATTGCAATGACTGGCCAATCCACACTGATTTATTACCATATTTGGCATGTTCTTCAGTTTTTCTCAAAAGTGAAAACAAGCCAATATAATAAATCATAATTGACACAAGCCACAAAATGCACTTTCAGCACAGGATAATTCCACTAACAGTTTAGTTCATTTCATTCTAAATAATTAAAACCTCAATAATAAAAATACAGAAATAAATTGGAAACTTTACTTTAGGGATGATTAATTTTGGATGCAATGCAATTTCTGTTCAAGTAAACTATTGTTTTTAATTCATCTCATTGCTTAAAAAATGAATCATTACATGATAAAACTATTATGTTAAGGATAGTTTAAAAGCTCTTTATATTTGTCAGAAAAAAAGAAGTTCAATGAATTAAAAGGAATACTGAATGTTATTTACCAGATGGGCCTATTTTCAGAGCCTATTTTAGACAATTCTAAAATTAATTTTAATAAGTAGCAAATTGACACAGTTAATTGATAGTTTCCTATATAAATTTTGCTAAACAAACTAAGTTATTTTATAAAAATATAATCTTAGCAAATGAGGTTTCTTGCCTTATCTGTAAAAATTATTTGTTATATAACAGCCAAATTTTAAGGAATGTCAATTTTCTCTACATAATGATGAAAGTGCATAACATTTTATATCTTGCTTTAGGATAATATATTTTAAAAACATGGACTTATCTTCACATATGAGATTAAATGAATACTGCAAGATGATTATTACATATTTTGCCCAATTTCTCGTATTTATGAAAAAAGAAAAGTGAAGTTGCTCAGTCATGTCCAACTCTTTGCAAGCCCATGGACTGTAGCCTACCAGGTGCCTCTGTCCATGGGATTTTCCAGGCAAGAATATTGGAGTGGGTTGCCATTTCCTTCTCCAAGAGATCTTCCTGACCCAGAGATTGAACCCGGTCTCCTGCATTGTAGGCAGACACTCTACTATCTGAGTTACCAGGGAAGTCCATATTTATGAAATACATGGTAAATATAATCACTTATGCTTTATATAACATAGCTTAACTTATATATATTTTATATTACATAGTCTAATTTATCCAAAAGATGTGTTTACTTATTTTATGTAGTATTGCCCTATGTTA